CCCCCCCCCCCCCCCCCCCCGGCACCCAGTCTGACCGCGAGAGGATGCTCACTAAATGTTTGCGGATGTATTGGCGAATAAGGCAGAACCAGAAGTAAGCGAGTCTCAGGAAGACATGGGCTCGGCTTGCAAGATTTGGGGCCTTGGGTTTCTAGACAGAGAAAGATCTTACTGTTGAAGTCAAGGATGGGCCATCCTTGGGGCCCAGGAGGGGAAGGACAGAAGCTAAATTAGTTCTGAAGGCTGTCTTAAGGGCAGGGACCACCCACGCAGAGGTAGAAGAGACACGGAGACTGGGAGGGGCTGTGTGACCTTCCCCTCACCCATGCCAGGCTTTGCTGGCAGAGACGTGTGGATCTGAGGGGCTAGGAGTGATGTAGCATCTGTGGTCCACATGGGAAACCACTCAGGCCCTCCCTTTCTACTCCCTCCCTAAAATAAACCAGGGCTGACACCTGTCCTGGGCAAACCTGCTTCCCCAGTGTTCGCTGGCCCTGGTTTGGCTACAGGGCTGGCCCCAGCAGACCTTGTCTCTGGTGGTGGTGGTGACAGTGGCCTGGCGTGTGGTCAGGTGGGGGCTGACTCTGCTTGGACAGGTGGAGTGGCAGCCAGGTGATAGGCCAAAATCCTGCCAAGGTGGCAGTTTGTGTTTGGGGAAGTGCTCAGGTTTACAATTCTCTCACACAGTCTGCTTACCTGGAGGCCTGGGGCTATCAGGGAGGGATGCCCAAGCACTGAGGAAAATGCTCTAGCCTCAGGATCTAGCTCATGGTTGGAATCCTGCAGTGAGACCTATGATTTCCCCACTCTCCCCTGAGTAGACAGGCTGCCCTTGTTTGACACGATGCCCAATCTACTCATCCTTGCTGTCTCTGGTCAGCATCACCACCTCCAGGAAGCCTTCCCTGACATTCCCTTTCTTGCCTCAGCCTGGGTTAGAGGCTCTGGCCGACACATCACATGACCTATGTCCTGGCTTCCATGTGAAACAGGACACTCCTTGAGAGAGGGATCCTCTTTACCACAAGCCTCACACCTAGTGAGTGCTCGGTTAATGTTCACTGAATGAATGCAGGAGCTGGTAAACATCCTCCCTCAATCTAAGATTGACTGTATGGGCTTTGGAGAGAGGTGGATTTGAGGGTCTGTGGTCTCCACCACCAGAGCCAACCTGGGACGTGCAGCTTCCCAGGCCAAGGGTGCATTCGGTGGCTGACTTGAAGCCAACAGATCCCTTTTGTTTCATCATCACCTCCAGGCCAAGGTTTAGAGATGGTTCAGCCCTGCTGGGAGGCGGTGGGGTGGAAAGAGCTTGGGCTTTTCCATCAAACAGACCTGGACTGGATCCTCGATCCACCATTGCCTAGCTGGGTGACCTCAGGCACATCTTTTAACCTCTCCGAGCTTCAGAGTCATTATTTGTAAAATGAGAATCATAATCACACTTGCTGTATAGGATTGTTTTAAGCTTAAATGAGACAGTGTGTGCAGAGCACAGTTCCTCGCATGTTGTAGCACTGAACAGATAGTAGCTGCCATAATGAAAATAATATTGATTGTGTCATTGTTAGGCATAAGCTAGGAGTTAAGGAGGCAAAGAGGTGTAAGGAACAGTCGCTGCCCTCGAGGGTGCGGACCATATTAGTTAGGGAGTTGAGACACATACATAACAAACCCATCACACTGACGGTGGCCTATAGGGCCTGAGTGCTGTGCAAGGTGAGCACTCGTCCTAGCTGTTCAGAGGAGGGAGCAGTTGCCGGAGGCAGGTCATCAGGGATGGGGAGGGGGCCTGGAGGGAACAGTAGCACTTAGGTAAGTGGAGAGAAAAGGGAAACAGCTCCAGGGAGGGGAAGCAGCAGACACAAAGGCAGAGAGAAGAGGAAGCCACACCAGCAGGCCAGGTCCCCAGATGGACAGACAACAAAAAGGGAGCACTTAAGTATATGTAAAACCCAATGTTGGGTGTTCTGCCGGGGGTGCTGGTGTGGCGGGCCACCCAGTCTTTGACGGGTTGTCCGACGCTGACAGGCGACCCTCACCCTCTCCCTGTCTCTCCAGCCGTGTGCCAGCCGCCCTGCCAGAACAGGGGCTCCTGCAGCAGGCCCCAGCTCTGCGTGTGCCGCTCCGGCTTCCGCGGAGCCCGCTGCGAAGAGATCATTCCTGAGGAGGAATTCGACCCCCAGAACTCCAGGCCGGCACCCCGACGCTCAGCCCAGGGGTCTCCCAACCTGCGCAGGAGCAGTGCGGCCGGAGAAATCACCACAGCCAGAGCGCGGCCTCCAGCACCACAGCCGCCACTGGCCAGGTGAGTCCCCTCCTCAGCGGGGCCTCTGGTCTGGGGGCGCAGCCTCTCTGGAGGGGCTTCTTCCTTCGGCCCGTTTGGTGAGGACCCTGGTGGAGAAGGCTGGAGAGTCCTCCTTTCCCTTCTGCTCCACCAGAGGGGCGGCGAGCAGGGCAGCAGGTACGGGGGTGACACAGGCTCTGGCAGGGTGCACCGGGGAGGTGGGAGGGGAAATCTTTACTCTCCAGGCCCCAGGGAGAGAGCTGAGGAGGGCACATCCCTGGGACCAGGCTCTCTTGTTCCGAATCCTGGTGTTGCCACTTCCTAGGTGGGTGACCTTGGGCAAGTTACTTATCTCTCTGATTCCTCATCAGTAAGTTGGGGAAAATGATGATAATCATAGTCATGGTATTGTAAGGGTTAAATTAGTGAATATGAAGAAAATGCTTAGAATAGAGCCTGGCACACAGTAAACTCTATAAATGTTTGTCCTCCGCCTCCCCCTTCTCTGCCTGTGGTCCCTGTGATGCAGGAAGGACTCCTCTGCCAGAAAAAGCCCCTTCAGTTCAGTCACCACCAGTGCTAACCCGTCTCCTCAGAGGGGCAGCTGGAGCACGTAGGGGAAGCGAGAAGATTAAAAAGTGGGAAGGGGTGTATTCATGGGCAGGATTCCCTGGCCTGCTTGCCAGCCAAACTGGCTAGACATTTCCTAGCTCAGGACAGGAAATCTGAACTTTGTAAACTGGTCCATTTCTGGGGGCTGTGTTTTCCTTGTGGTTTTTCAGGTTACTTTTTCCATTCGCTTCCTACTTAGGAAGTTCTTTCTGAAATGTTTGAACCTTGTCTTGCTGAACTCAGCGAAAAAAGGATTTGCCCTCCCAGAGGAAGCTGGGAGAATCAGGGAGAAGAGGCTGACCTCGAGGCCAGGTCCCCAGAGGGGGAAGCTCAGGAGAGAAAGGAAAGGAGCTCAAGGTTGTCCAGCAACTCTGAAGCAGGAGGGGCAATGGGGGCCGGGGCAGACCAGGGTCTTGGTAAGGGAGTTTCCAGGGCCCTGGCCACCCAAACAAGCAGGTGGTTTCCGAGAGCAGCCAGGAGCAGAAGGAACACAAGGATGAACTTGGGTCAAGGCCTAGGGAGCCCCAAAGTTAAAACCAGAAGAGCCAAACTCTTTTGCCAAGGCCTTAGGATGCTGGGGCAGAGATGGGGGGCAGAGCTAAGGGTCAGGTGGACAATGCAGGGGGCAGGGTGAACTGCCTGGGATTGGCTGTGTCCAGTTGGACAGGGCCTGAGCCTTGTTCTAATTGGTCCCGGCTCTGGGTCCAAGGTGAGTGGGCCTGGTGTGAAGGCACTTGGAGGAGCCCCAGAGGTGGCAGCTCCAGGGCCAGCCCCGGGGCAGGGTGGGAGCAGAGTCCTTCCAGCCTGGGTTTCTCCCTGCAAGCTCTTTTTTGGCTTGTGGGACCCATTCGTTTTATAATGCGTTTATCCCCTGTGTGCGTGCACAAGTGAGTGTTGGGGGTGGTTGCTTGGCAGGTCATTCTGTTCCTTGTACCCCTGAGTCAGAACTCTTCTGACATCCCCTGCCCCATCTTCCCAGCCTATCCCACTTCTATTTTTCAAGGCCCAGTCCCGCTTCCTCCAAAAAGCACCTACTCCCTCATATCCGCCAGGCTCTGACCCCCTGCAGTGCACACGTGGCACACACATCGCTGTGAGTCTGCGCCCTGAGTCTGCAATCAGATGGTGTGGCCTGCGCCCTGGAAGGCAGCGCCTCCGTCTCACACTGGATTTCCCCACAGTGACTCCTGCAGTTCCAGCTTGCAGGAAGTGCTCAATCTGCATTGCTTTCTGTCGCTCGCTCCCAACAGAAGACTTACCTAACCAAGGGCCCATTTGGCCCTGAACCCTCACCCTGCCCTGGAACCAAGGGCACCACCCGCAGTGGTGCTCAGAGTGCGGGAGGACGGGAGGCTCCGTGCTTCCCCAGTATCACGCTTTTCACTCTGCCTCGGGACCGTCTGTGCATTTGCTCACTGGACCAGGAGCTCCGTGAGAGCAGGGACTACTGTGTCCTCCTCTTTCATGAACATGTCCCTGGCACCTAATACCACACCTGGTACCCTGTAGGTGCTCAGTCAACACAAGTTGAATGAAGAAATGGACGAGGTGCGATGCTGGGCGGGGAGGAGGCTGGGAGGGAAGGAGGACCAGCTCTGTGAGGCTTCGGTCCCCCCGCGAAGGTGTGCGAGAGGCAGGGGAGGGTGAAGGCCTGGGCTGAGGTCTCCGGCTCACAGCAGGTCTGTCCTTTTTGAGCTTCACAGGTTCCCTGGCCAGGGGCTACTGTGATGTTTTTAATGAGTTGCAGCCTCCAGGCCAGCCCAGTCTCTCTCTCTCTCTCCATGTCTCTCTCTCTCTCTCTCTCTCTGCCTTGGCGTGTCAATGCCATGAAATCTGGGAAAGTCCGAGCGGCCCACTGTTGGCCCAGCTGTGTTTTGCTTTGGGAGGCCAAATCCCACTTGCCTGGTGGTGTCAGACATTTCCTGTGAACTTGGCCAGCTTTCCCAAACAGCCGCTGGACTCTCTCCTGATGGCAACTTGGACAAGCCCTTGGTGTCCAGATAAGGGAGTGACATAAATGCAGAGGGCATTCTTGGTTGTGGGGGGGGGGGGCGGGGGG